GGTTGAGCTTCTGACAGTCCCCATCCCAGATCCCCAGACACAAGCTAACAATGAACTGACTGCCACATGCTTTTATGACACGGCTCTTTAAATAAAATGCCAAGGATAAAGCCGCTCAAATTAAATGACAGTTTCATATATAAAATACAGTTTCCAATATTGGTTTGATTATTAACCATTTCTCAAGGATAGTGAAGCCATACAGCCTGACTATACTGTAAGATTCCAGCTTTCAATTGTTTAATCATGGCACTATTGCGTTTCTGCAGCAATAACTTCCATCTGAAGGTCAAAATAATTCTGTTAAACCAGCATAACAGTATGGCTCTAAAGAATATAAATCACCACATTAGAAGAGATACAATTTCATAATTCACCCTTTTAGGAATGTCTCTGCATTTTCATCTGATTAGAAGGGCTCTTCCATCCACGAGGATATAAAGGGCCAAGCACCCCTAAATGGAAGCAATCTTTAAACGCTGCACCTCCCAGCTGGGTTCACACGTGTCCCCAATTTAAAATGCCCAAACCACTTTGTTGATGTGGACTTACACCCTGCACCCACGCTGGGCTCAGTGTTTCTGTAAAAGCTGCTAAATTCAACTGTCAGAAACACACCTGCTTCTTACTAAGCATGCAGAGTGTTTATATGATGTTGCTCTGTTCTTCCGTCTTCCATTAACAAATGTTCCATCTCCTCAAAAGGTGGAAGTGCGCACCAAGCAGCTGCATTGTTCACAAATATGAAAAGGCAATTGAGGATATTTATTGTTACACGTATAAATAATAAAATGAAAAGATGCCATAGTAAAAATGCTGGCAGAGTGGTTCTGGCCGAGGTAAAGCTGATCAACCGTGAGAACCACAAGAGCTAAAATTAGGTAAAGTGACATCGGAGGGCATGGTTACCATGACAGCAAGCCAGCCTGAGGGTGTTGTTGCTGAGATACAACAACAAGCCAAATCCAAGTTGATGCTGAACTGCAACAATATCCAAGTATGCTGTAAGAGTGAATATTACTACTAAGAGATACTCGTAAAATGACCCCGCATCAACAAGTTGTGTGGGCTTTATTTTTTTTTAAGCTCTCGCTAAATATTCAGCACATTCAAGCTCCCTCAAACATTGAATTCATCGGCCACGACAAAAACAATCTCCAAACCATCCCACCAGCACAGCGCATTCCTCTCCCATATGTTGTCTCCATGGGCAACCAAGCAGCCAATCTGCCACGGCCCCTGAGACTTCCCCTTCCGACTTCCGCCTTATCCTTTCAGAGCGCTGATGAATTGAAGTGTATGCTCGGATTATGTGCCATTTTACCAATATATAAGCAACATATTGTGTTTGTGCAAGGGTGGTTGAGTTTATGCATATGTGTGTTCCTCCGCACATGTGTAATCATAGCTAATCAATAGAGGCCTGTATGCAGCAGCCTCCTCCTCCTCCTCCTCCTCCTCCTCCTCCTCCTCAGTGGACCTGTTGATGCTGGGAAACAGGGGGGCTGTTGTACAACTGGGTGGCCGCATAAATGTGGCACTCATCTAATATGCACCGCAGCACTGCCTGCCAACACACTTCCTCATTGAAATTCTGATTAAATAAGGCTAGTCTGACCAGTGTGCAATCTGAAAACTATTTAATTATACCTTTTTGGCTTCCTCTGGTTTAAACAGCTACCTTGGCTTTTAAGTTAAGATAAATGAATGCCCCAACAGACATTCAGAAAGGTCTCATTGGTGGGTGTTGTATATTGTGCTGTTATATTTGAATGGCGTATTCATAAACAAAACAGGCATATTACATGTGATAGATTCTCACACAAAGTAAATCAAGATGGTTTTGTTGTTTATACGTTGCCTAGCCTAGCATACAGTTTTCTTTTTGAGCGGAGAGGATTCGTAAAGTAGGATATAAAAGTAACAAATAAATACAATTCCTCACTTCTTGCGCTTCTGTTCAGGTGTGCCATTAACTCCCTGATATTGGATCCCTCTTTCTCTCTATTCTATAAAATCACAAAAAGGTGAGTGCACAGCCTATCACCATTCAATCACCGGTCTATCACACAGCGCCATCCTGTAGTGAATAATTTAGTGACAGAAAATGATGGACCATTTCAATACGTCTGCGGCTGGCTTAGTGCTCTGAGTGATGGCAATTCTTAATCAAAATGACCCTGATGACATTTCTGTGTAATTGATTTCTTTGCCAACCAACCACAGTGTTATATTAATGACCACATATGACTTCTGAGTAATGATGTGTCCGTCAACCTATTCAAATAAGTATGTAGGCCGGTGTTAATCACAGTTTCCAGACAATACAAAGGTAGGGTTAGCAATGTCATTGCTCATTTAAATAGAAAAAAACCTCTCCAACCCAGGATGTAAATCACTAGCGAGGCAAAAACAAACATTTATATTCAAAGCTTGGTCAATGCGATCAACACCTGCTTCCATGTCACTGCTCCACCCAGATCCTTGTCAGCCAGTCCAAAGAGTTCATCCAATCCATGATTAGATATTTGTGTCTCTAACAGGTCACACACACAATGACATTGATAGATATTGTAAGACAGAGTGCAGTTACAGCTTGTGCATGTAATGAGACAAAAAAGGTAGCAATCCCCTGATAAGAGGTAAAGACAAAGGCAGCCAACGTGTGTAAACAAAGCTAGTTTCAAAGCATCCACACAAGCCATTGCAAATGTTTTACGAAGTAGAAAATATATTCAACGTGTCTGTTAGATTATTAGAAGACACAATGAGTTTTGTGAGAATGTTGAATGTACAACAAAAACTGTTTGCCAATAAGACTCTGCAGGGTACGATTAAGAGGCCTCTTCTCCAAGTCTCAGGCCTCCTCTCATTATGTTTACCCAGTCAACCAACACATGAGCACACAGAAGTGTGTAGACTGAAGTTTGAAACATTTGGCAGACTGTAATGTATATAATCGTCTGTTGTAAACTTTCTTCGACACTTCTCAAATCATTATTCACAATTAGTTAGATGCAGCCTCGATGGGGCACTTTATGCCAAGGTGTTTATATTTCTCATAAGTCTGTTGGCCATGTGCCAATAAGACATTAGCTCGAGGATGAAGTACTAGCAGAAATCTGTCTGATACGTGTGCCCACTCAAGGAGATGATTTGGCTGACATAAATCTAATTTTCTCCAATATAGAGAGACAAGCAAGGTGGAAATTTGACAAATTGTCATTTCATTTTCAAATAAGGGAGGACTCAGGCCAAAAATGAAATTACATTATTCCTACCTGCCCCACCTCAGTGCTAAGAATCAATGAAGGTTTTTGTGTGAAGAGAATACCGCCAGCCTGATATGAATATTTACACACTTCATAGAGCCCCATTTTCAGTAATGGCTACATCTCACTTACAAACCCTTGGTGCGAGAGGGGGACATGTTATTCATAAGAGGTTAAGTGAGTTGACCTGCTCAGATGCCTGCTAAATGGAAGACAGTCAATTAGACACACAGACCAGCAAAGTACAGCATAACAGCTTCCTTCCTCGCTAGACGGCCACAGCAGACTGGTCACAAAGGCGGACTATTACTGGAATCTTTAAAATGAGGAACACAGTGATATCGAAAATATAATTGTCCAAAGGTCTCTTATTTCAGGGAAGGAAGAAGTCGTCATGCTCGTAGGCAAGTAACCGCAAGATTAGCAGCAATAGCGAAATTGAAACAAAAGGACAAAGGCTAAAAAGGGCATCATTCTAAAATATCTGCCTAAAAAGGAAGACTGAGAGGGACCATTCATTATATCAACTTCACAGTCTGTGATCTACAATATCATAACCACCTGTATAATATGGTCGCCGAAGGGGACAAATAGATACACTTCATGAATGTTAATGGTCATTTGCAGTAATACTGGTTGGTTTAAATGTTTTGCCTAAATCCTGACAAACTCACAACTACTGTTACCAAATGCAACAGGACAGCGTTGCAGTCTTCAGCCAACAGTATGGTTTGGGACTCATCATAAAAAAATAACTAAATCTAGTCTGTTGCTTGGAAAAGTGCATCGTGTGCAAATGTGCGGTGTTCACTCTTCAAGGACATCATAATCATCAGGTATCACTTTACACAGACAGCTGCAGGAGAAAGACTACACCCCCATCCCATGTTGAATCTGTAGTAGGTGATGGTACATCATCCAGCACCTATAACAGTATTCCTTTCATTTATAGTGGCTATTCCTGTCTGATACGCATCAACCATGCTGTGCAGTGACTGATCACAATCAACCATTGGCAATAAGAAGCATTCCAGCAGCAGGTGGAAATCTGCCTCCCCTGTACTGCCCAACCCCGGATATTTTCCCAAGTCTGACTGGCATGCCTGTGACCTCTGAAGCCGCCTTTATGAACAGCCCTTTGATTATTAATGTTGAAGGCGGGGGTCTGGCTTTCGACCTGGCCCAACACCGCGGTGCTCTTTACAGCCTGCATGGAGAAGGAAACTATTGTTGTTAATCTATGAGACACGCTGACTCTCTGTGCTACTTCTTCTGAGCGTATCCTCTCCTCACATTACCCGGGGAGAACAATCAGCATGAGTCAGGGTACTTGTTCCAGGGACATAAATCCATGCACCTAAGAAATAATTGTATTGTTTATATTTCCCTCGTTAGTTTTGGCATATCACAACTTTGATTTGTATACATTATGTTATTATGTGGTCATTTTATAATGGAATTGTCATGCTGTAAAGCATTATTATCTTAAAGGATGAAACCTTAATATTCATAATATCCTGCAGGAGCGAACTCTTCTCAGTGTTGACTTTATAGTCACTATTAGACTTGTTCATAAAAGGGACTAATAAATGTTATTTTAAATATCTTCAAAGGTTGTTTGACTACTTCATATCCATCCAGGTATAGAACAAAAGTTGTTTTACAAAGCCTGAAATTGTGTTGGATGAAATTAATAGATCATGTTTTTTTATTTTAAATAAAGCCTACCTTTTCCATAGTTGAAGTGGAGTTTGATGGTCTTTCCCTGGTTGATGTGCAGGTAGGTGAACCACACGGCGGAGGTGAACAGCACCAGCAGCAGCAGGAGCTTGAACTGCTTCCGGATCTTCTTCACGGGGAAGCGCAGCATCCTGGCTCAAACATCCTCCGGTAGCCGCCCGGTAGATAGTCAAAACGGTCTGGAAAGTCGGTGCGCTGTGTTTGTGTTTCTGGGTGTCCGAGTCTCTTCTGACTGTCTACCTCTCCCGGTCACAGCGACGGCATCCCAGCAGGCACGCTGCGAGTAAACAGGGAGTGTTAACTACAGCCTTGAAGCGCGTCTCATTCCCCCGCATCCACAGGGTGACATCAGCGCCAAATGTGTCGTATCCTCAGATCTGGGTCCAAACACCTCTGTGGCAGTCATTGCTTATGAATGCAACCCGGTTTCCCCCCTTTCCCTATGAATAGCGTGGCTTGTACGCAGGCTTCCCTGCTGGAGTTTCCAGGAGACAGCAGGGAAAAGGCTGCGGATCAAAAGCAGCTAAATTCAGTTGAGTGTGGCCGAGTGAACAAAATAGCAGTCCGGTGATAATCTACACAAATCCCCAGAAGCTCAAGCCTTTGCTGACACCGCGACGCTGATTATTTTATCGGCTACTCAGGGATCATCCCCGGCCATGGGTTTAGCGCGAAGAAGCAAAGAGCAAGAGGAATATAGTTTCCATGTGGAGGGGTGATCGGATAGAGCATCTCCACAGAGCTGATACACTTCCTCGCAGAACGACTGATACGGGTTATTTGTCCAAACATATTAAATACAATCAGGCCTTCAGTGAAACGTGTCGCCGGTGTAACCTCTGAAGGAATGGTCGGTGTGAAGCTAACCTGATAAGGGAAAGGTGTCAATCAAAACACACATCACAGCCTTCTGCGCTCCATCTATTGTTAAACACAGCTGAAACTGAGAGTCTGGCTTCCGAGCGTGTTTTTACTTAAGTCCCGAGAGAGGAGGGGCGATCAGCTGTCATCCCCATACTCGGGTTGGTTTAAAGCCCCGCGATGAGTAAATAATAAACCGACGTAGATTAAAATCTGTGAATCCTCCATGGCGGTGAAACAGACGAGTTTTTTTGACGGAAATACTCAGATGTGATTGTCCGATGTACGATTCAGGGAGCAGATGCCCATGTGCTCCAGGGTCTCACGGCAGGTGCGTTTCCACAAAATCTCCCAAAGTAGCCGCTTTGTCCGAGTCCACCGAGTGTGCATGAAAGGTCCAAAGCAAATAACCGCGTCCGGATTAAACTAATACACACTGATATGTGTCGCTAGCGGGGATGCACTGCCTTGTGTTGTTATTCTGTCATGAGCTTTTTTCCTTTTAAAACGCCGCAATAGCATCGTCCAACCCGCTTGTCACCGCGCGCAGGGAGAACAAACAGCTGAGCTCCAGGAAGAGTCTCGTGGACAAACCAGCAACAAGCAGTGATGTAACCAGGACAGAACATGGTTTTTGTTTTTGCTACAAATAAACGCGTAAGGGTATCTCCTTTCACTGCACAGCTCAGTACGCCCATCAATTGAGCATCTCAACGGTGCGGAGCAACCTAACCTGGGCGGATGAAGAATGACAAATCCAGCGTCCAATTAAAACGCTGGAAAAGGTTCAGAGGAGGCGGGATGACAACGCTTGCCCTCACCGTTGCTTGGAAGTACTGGTGTGATCCATCATCCAATAGCTGAAGCCTGAAACTTGTTAAGCTCTCCCATTGTGCCATTTTCACCATCATTTAAGTATACTAATTCGATAAACAATGATTATTCGTTTTTCAGGCAATGGAAATGCAGTGACACTAAAGTAATAGGATATGGAGAAATACTCGCTTTGTGTCAGGATTCAGGCACCCATCTAAACACTTAGGCATATTTATTAAAATAATTGTTATTAAAACAATCATTCCTCATAATAGATGAGGAAATATCATGTTGATATTTGTATTTGTTTGGGGGGGAAATGAAATAGATTCCTTTTACTAAACCGAACGGATTGCCAGTTTTTTCATTGTAATGTCAAAGATATTTAAAATTGCTTTTGAAACAATTAATTTAGTCTGATATATTAAAGAAAAGGTTAAGATTATTCTTTAAATGTATCATTTCTATTTGGCTTGAATAAGATTCCTAATAGTGGCTTACACAGCTCGTTACAAAGGAATTGCACATAATGTAGCCTGCATACTGTGTGATGACACCCTGCAGACGCACCATGCGCACTTGGCTGCCACCGTCTGGTCAATCATAAAAGACCAATGATTACATGAAGGCAACAGAGTCTTTAGTCTTCATTACAAATAAGCAAAGTGGATTGTGTTCTATTTTTTTTAGAGGAAATTCTCGGGTAGAGAAATGTTGTAACTTCACATTTATCAACATTTATTTTTCAAGATTTACAATACTATGTAGTCTAGTCATGTTAATTTACTTTTTAGTAACAGATTGATCAAATTGGCCTTTTTAACATTTGGACATGTCACAGCAGGAAAACAACAGGTGGAACTAATCTTTAATGATAGCTTCCCACCATTACACAGACACTGATAGAGCCATTGTTCATGTAATTAATATTTTATTGAAACCCCACATTTTGGAAGTACTACCCACAATAAAGTGCATTCAAGAAATGTTAGAGCTGCTCAAAGCCGTACTAAAGAAACATCTAATTAATTATGGATGTGATGACACAATTACAGTTTGAAAAACACTATTGCTGTCTCTAAGTTTAAGTCACAGTATGAATAATGTTTGACAGTGTGTATTGTATCATCGGTTAGTATAAAATGGTTAAATATATATATATATTTTTTTAATTAGTGAACAAAAAACGTATGCGATACGATTAGTATACATACTGTATAGTTAGTGGGTGGTATGGAGAATAGGTATATTGAGAACAATTCTCATATATCTCAATGTATATATTTTATTGGTGACAGGGGACATCAGATTTAACAAGAGATTGAGAAAGATTTCAACCATGTTCCGTCTACACAGACCTACGCAGTCCTGAGTGAGAAGAGGCAGATTAAGTTAATATACCTTTGGGGTTGAGCCATGTGTGTGTTGGCTTTAATATAAAATGCAAGAACAGATTAAAAAAACAAACATGATATGTGAATGTATCATTTGCTATAGGTTTACATGCATCAAACATGTGGTTTATCCCCAGTTAAATACAGTTCCAATCATCCCGCTGAAGCTATATAAGCTATTGATGCCATTGTGAATCCAAATGAAGGATCAAAGGGCATGAAACCTGGATTTACAAGAATATGACCTCAATTTAGTTTGTCCCAGCTGTGCCTTCCCCATCGGTCAGACCACAAACCATAATCCTACGTCTCTGTGGATTAATAATGTAATCTTCAGAGCAAACACTACGCGTAAATGAAATGCTTAGGTATTCATCTGGGCCGTATTGAAATGAGTGCTTTGTAAACGACCTCAGTCAAACGTAATTTTACGCTGAAACAAAAACTTCACGGCCTTCACCTTGCAGGGGCTGTTGCAGGGAAGACTGAAGGTATTTCATCACTCACGCCGGGTTTGAAAGTCATCAAATAGTTTCATGCATCGTTCTTTTTTCCTTCGCTTTTATGGTTGCAGGACATCTTCATTTGATGGCCTGATTCTTTTCCTTTTTATGGTTGGTCTTATGACTTGTAAGACTGAAGTCACAAAGAAGTTTATTGTTTACTCAGTGAGTGCTCCAAGGGCAAATAAGCATACAATGCACCTAAGGGACCTGCACACTTTTAACTCACATTAAAGCTAAAGAGAAAGAAAAAAATGCATATGGTCCAATTTATTGGTGAGATGCACATGGGAAGAATAAACTTGCTGGGATAATATTATCTGAAATGTTTTTATAGTCATCGTCTTTTTCCCGGTTGAAATGTACTTTGTGCTGTTTTCCCCTGTCCGTCTCCTCGGTCTTTCATGCCTTCAGTCACATTTGGCACCTATAGGAACAACCTGTGGGGGATGTCCATGCTTGAATGAACCCAGGAGGAGGCAGTGTGCAGTGGGATGATATGGACAGAGAGGCTGTTCAAGTTGAGGACTGATAAAAGGGAAAGGGAGCTGCTGTGCTCTGGTCTTACAGAGACCGAGCCCTCAGGGAGGAGTGAGTGCCCGGCTGGCCATGACAGGTGTCAAAGTGTGGCTGAAGTCATGATACCACTGAGCCCCGCAGAAGGGAAAGGCATCGCTCGGGACTCGGTATGCAGAGAGCATCATCTCAGAGTGTGATGGTGTTTGAATTTTAAACAGAGAAGATGTTATGCAAGCAACAGAGGAGAGACTGACCTCAAATTGAGGCTGCCGCAGATTTGATAAGCACGTCATCTGATCTTGCAGCTTTTTAAGATTTCTCTCCTTTTACTAATCCAACATCTGCCTCGTCTGTCTATGTCTCTTGGCTGTCTGTATTTCCTTCAGCCTTCTTTAGTCTCTTTTCAAAGCATCATTCCTCAGACTGCTCCAACCTTCCCTTTTCCCAGGGAGCACAGCAGCTCAGACTTTGACATGAGGTCTGGGCTAAAATGTCACAGAGATTAAGGGGTTTCTGCCTCCTGCATCCCTCCGGATCAGTTCTGCCCATGCCCTCTGTGGCTGTGCCTCATCTTCCCCAAAACAGGTGTGGAGTGCCATTTATTTCTGCTCCGCTGTGCCCTATTGAATTTCCTACTGGGGAAATAAGAATCCTCCATGTTTACAGATGAGTAAGGAGGGGAATCTCGGTTGGGGTTAGGTGAACAGATGAGGAGGAATGAGGTGAAAAGAGAAGTGTAGATGCATCAAGAGAAATTGAAAGGGAGCAAGGATCAGAAATTCAGGCAAATACTCAGTAGAGGTTAGTTTTAAAAGTTGTATTTTTACAAGTTTGAGAAGTTGACTTTCATAATTTCTGCATTCAGGCCCTGCTCAGCATCCCACACACACTGCAGGGTTTTCTCTGACTGGCTCTTCAAAGAGTTTGAGCAACAATCCCACACACGCTCACCAGTCCACTTTAAAAACCAGTTTAGCCCCATGCCCCCGGTACCGGTGGCATGACGCAACATCTTGCAAGAAACAGCGTCTGAGGGCTTCTTAACATTTAATAAACTATGAATGTGTCATACCCACTTAACGGGAAGAAACTCAGCTATCAGAAAATATTAACAATTTTTAGCAAAACGAAACATAAGGGTAATAACAAAGGCTCTGAATTAGCCCTGAGCGAAAGAATGCTAACGCAGTTAGCACAGAACTCAAGGTAAAATACCCGTATTACTTATCGGATTTGCACAAACAAGATATCGATTAGCAAACTGAGATTCCACAGATTCCAGACATAAGTATCATCACTGAACGATCAGAACTCGCGACAGGGGGAGCGCGAAAACAGACATCACAACACGTAGCTTCACGGAGGAAACACGGAGATATTCTTACCTTAGCTGTTCTGATCAAAAATTGTGTTCAATGGCATTAAAACGATAAAAACGCTACTGAAGGTTAATCCAATGGTTAATCCAATGTGTCCATGTCAATTTGAAATGATTACTGATAATCCATCTCCATACTTAGTTTTCAGTTTTCAGAGCGTAACATAGCTTTCGACTGCGTGCGCGTCACACTCACTCCTTGATGGTAACGTGTGTGTGTATGTGGAACTTCCCCTTCGATTCTATTGGCTCCAACGGTTCAAAAGAGATGTCAATCACCAAAATCGACCAATGGGTTCCAGAGAAACGGCAAATACACCCAAATGTGTTTGTTTTTTGCTAAATCTCTCTAAAAAGGTCAAATGTCACTTGTTTTGCATCAATCTTGATACAGGGTACTTATTATGCTATAATTTGTATTCCTAAAGCTTTTAGTCTACTGTCCCATCATTCGGTTATCACTATAAGTAATGTGTTTTATTTGGACGGACACTATCATTTAAATTGTTTACTATGTTCAATCTGAATTTACTTTAAAATAAAAAAAATGCTATATTGATTCTGACTCATCTACATCATAATCGCAGGTTTGTCATTGCTTTGAGAAAAAAGATTATTAATTTACCCCTTTTAGAAGTGAATATATGGTCATTTGTTCTGGGAATGTCATTTTCGAGCCTGAGGCCTGAAAAACAGGCTCGGGCTTAACTGGTTAACCTTTTGCAGATCTGCAGTGGGATGTGTTATTTCTCAAAGATCTTGTCAGCGGTGTTGTCATAGTGAATTTAACAATAAGCTATTCCAATCCAAACAGGTGAAGTGTTAACAGTGAACAACACAACAGTAAAAATAGCTCTGCTGCCATTTCAATTTTGACTGCTGCAGTTTTCTCAGCTATGGCATGTTTGTTAGGAAACTGTCAAAAGACATCACGCATATGATTTATTTGTCATTTTCTAAAGGCATAGATTGATTCATCATGAAGCTAGTGAAGAATCTCAAATAACTGAGTGAATATCCATGCTTGGCCTCTTTCTCAGTTTCAATGCTGACAGAGAAAAACAGCAGTCTCACTAAATAACATCTCCACCGA